ATACCATTTACATTTTGAGGTGACTTGAAGCCATCAAAGATTTCCACTGATTTTTAGGTGGTGCAGACAGCAGTGACACAATTGGCTTTCTTCTCTGTTGCCAGGGCAAAACGAGATAGGAGCGCTATTCCAAAGCTATTCCAAAGCCTTAGGGCTTTTCCTGTTTGATTACTAGCACATCTTAATAAGCACTTCAATGGGCTTGACTTTGAAAAGAGCAGAAGCTTGCTATTCTGCCAAACTTTATCAAATTTAACATGCAGTTTGACATACTGCAACTTGAATATTAGCATGTAGAAATGACTAGTTGGGTGCTAAGCAGGTCATTTCCCTGTGCAGGCGTGTTGATTAAGAGAACATGGGACTGAAGGGCGTTTTCCAGCAACCAAAGGGCAAATCCTGTCATAAACTGAACTTCCACAACTCTCTGATAGCAATGGAAGAGGTGTATTTACTCAGTACTTCGCTGCACTTACTCTTGTTTTAACCTTACACTGAAGTGCACAGTGGTGATACTACTTCTTTTACTTTAATCTTTCCATTTTCCATTTCAATGTGTTTGGCTTTCATTCCTTGTTTTAGTTTCCTTTCCAACTGTGTACTAGCGCAATTTTTGAATTGAGTTTCCTTACTTCATTACTAGGCTTTGACTCTTTTGTTTGGATACTAAATATTCCAAACAGGACAGGCTGCCCTTGTCATTTTAGCAACCTGACATTCATTTTGTAGTCTCCTTGTTGCTTCTGTTCTTGCTTCCGATGTCTTTGTTTTTGAGGTGTTTACTCTTTCAGTTAATTCTTCAGCCTTTTTCAAAGGATTTCCCTCTGTGTTGAGGATGCAAATCTTGCAATTGTAGCTTAAAAGAAATTTGTGTAAGTCCTTGAAGTGATTCTACAAAGCTATCATCAGTCTCTGTAGGACTAGAGGTCCTGAGCCGTGGTTGCCCCCCTGCATCTGCTTTACAGCAGCAACCAATTCTGAGCCTACTGATGGTTTTCTCAGGAAGGAGGAGTTGTAAGGCATCTTGCATCTCTCCAAACTCTTTTAGCCATGTAAGCAGTAGGTTGTAACCAAGCAGTATCCTCACATACCAACAACATTGTGGCAAGTTAGATCAGGTTAATCTAAACCTTAATTTAGATCAGGTTTTTAAAGCTCCCTTTATAAATAAATGAAATAAATTTCATTCTTTATGAATTCTATGACTATTCCATATTTAGCTCTTGCATATAAGAAAATTTTATTTTCCAAATTCTGGTGAATTTGTAAGCTTCAAAATACAGTGCTTTTTTTTGTTTGTTTCATAAACTTCAGTTTCACGGTGCTTCTCAGTTTCAAGGAGCAACTTAAAAGCTGCAGTATTTGCGTATAGGTGGGTGCTTCTGTTGGATATTCAGAGCTTTGTGTGCTGTTAATGAATGACCCTGTTTTATATTCTTGCTGGAGTATTTGCAACCGGATATCCTGCATAACAAGTGACATATGGCGATTTTAACAGACCAAAGACTGAGCAGCTACGTAGATTATTTTTTTTTCTAGAGTTGACTTTTCCAAGACCTCAGTCGGAGATACACCTCTTATTTTTATCTTAACACGCTAAACTTCCTTTAAAATAAAAGGATAAATACGAGACTATATTAGTCCATTCATGAATGTACTGTTTCCAAGAAACAATGCAATTGCTCTCTTAGATTTGCGAACCAGCTCCACCTTCTGGGGATTGAACATCCTTACTAATTGTGAACAAGAATTTTCAGTGTGAGCAAGGAGTAGATAATTCTTATGGAGACCTTAATCCCATGAGGGTATAGTTTTATCTTCTTTCCTTTTGGCAAGTACAATTCTATTTATATTCTATGATAAAATAATTTATCTTTCCTCAGTCACTAGGGTAAGATTTCCTACATACTTAGAATTTTTATTGTTTTCTACAAAGCAAAATACATATGTAATAAAAGCTCTGTATTCTTTGGGACATACAATTTTTCACATATTTAGCATGAATTTCCTTTAATGAAAAACATGGCCTTGACAATTTCAAATCTTTGAAGTCCTTCTTAATGCAACTGTTACTGACAAAAATTATTTATGTTAGTAAGTTAGTATTCCAAACATGTAGTCTCCCCAAAAAAATCATTGTGAGAAAATGATCTTGAAGCCAGTACTAGGTATGTGCAAAATAATTTGGAAAATCATAATAGAAGGTAGTTATCAGTTGTTTATGCCAGCCTGGAAGCCTGCATGAAGTAGAATCCACTTACATTTGTTCTGGGTCCAGTATTATTCAATATTTTCATTACTGACTTGGCTTATGAAATATGGATGATGCTTATAAAATTTGCAGATGCTTAAAGCTGGGAGAGGCTTTAAGCACCGTGGGAGCAGGATTAGAATGGATCTTGATGAAACGGAGCAGTGAAATATTAGGATGCAGTTCAGTAAGGACAAGTACAAAGTTATGTTCCTAAAGAAGCAGAAATACCCAGTGCAGATTGACGGGTTAAGCGGCAGCTCAGTAGAAACAGATCCAAGTGTTACGTGACTTGTGACCAGTGTATGACCCCCCTCTTTTATGAAAAAGAGTGTCAGTAAAGCCCTTTAGCCCTATCCCTGTAGCCTGAAATTGTAATAGCAGGTTCACAAAGTGTGACTAGTTCTAGAAATTCAGCTTTTTCTCTCTTGCCCTGGCTGTCAGAGCACTTGAAGATCCTTGGCTGTGTCTGTATCCAGCTCTGCTTTCCTATAAAAGTGGAACAGATGTCTATTATCTGTACCTTGGCATCTACTTTAAAGTGGCCAGGTATGATCTTTTTCATTATTTGCTCAGGTTAGCAGGAGACAACGACCTCTGTTCTTATCACATACAGTCCTGTTCACTGCTTCCGTACACATTACATCTTCTGATCTTACTCTGCAGTTGCTTTCCCTGGCATTTATTTATTGATTAATTTAAGAAATTACTACAATTTAAGACTCAAAAGGAGAGTTTAGATTGTCTGGTCTGTCTAGTCTGACTTCCAGTGTGTCACACTTTGTTGTCTACCTTATTTCTAAATTTGTCTCACAGCAGCCTCTGACCTTTGGTTGGTCTTTTGCTTTTATTCCCTAGAATAAACATCCCTGCTAGTACTTGTTATTTTCTCCTCGTGAAGAGGGGGAATCAAGTTGCTGCTCCTCCTTTTTCATAGGCTTAAGGAGATTAAACTCTAAATCTTGGTACCTCTCCTCTGCAAGCTCTCCATTTTTTTCAGCAGTCTCTTTAAAAAGTGCACACCAGACCTCGGCCTGCAGGGTATCGGTACTCTCTTAGTCAGTAACATGTATAAATACACCTCTTTTTGCTGGAACATGAAACTGGGGATGGCTTATAGAATCGTCTAGGTTGGAAGGGACCTTTAAGATGTTCTGTTTTGTTCACAATGGTTTAACCTCAATCTGTATAACTCCCCCTGAAATATGTATGACTGTGCTAAAACACAGGCCATCTAACCACAAAGGCGTTATTTGCAAAAGAACCCAAATTGTTCCCTGTGGCCGCTCTGTCCTCGTCTCTATTTCCTCTTTCCTGTGCCTTATTTTTTTTTTTTTTTTTTTTCAGTTTCTCCTGGCTTTCAAAGTTCTCTCCAGTCGTCTTGGCTACAGTTTTATTCATTTACATATTTATCTGGAGCGTAGCCAAATTGACTTTGAAACAGGCAGCTATGTCTTCCTGCCTAAAGAACTTCTTCAGTACTAACGAGTCTTTCATTGGCCTGACTCAGAATGTTACCTGAAACAGCGTGCTGTTATCTTCCACCTAATTACAATTTAAATTGAACAGATTTTAATTATCATTGATTCTTAATTGCACTAATCTACAGAAAATATGAGTCAGTGATGGACTATATTAAGTCGGTTGCGCTCCCTATTTATACATAGATTCTTCTGGAGTGTTGATTTCTCTTTCATTTTAAACTGTAACAATGAAACTGAGATGTAGATTCTGAAGGAGGGTGAGATTTGTTTAGTTGTTATTTGCAAAACCATATGTAACTACAATGTAGGTCTGATTTTATTAAATCCTGAAAAATTCAGGAACAGCTTGGGTAATTGGGCAAATTTGAGAGCTGTTCTGATTTTCCTCCATTCCTAGTTATCACTTCGCTTCATTTGTAACGTATTAAGGAGTCTCATTTCTCAAGCATTTCTCTAGCTTGTTTTTTCTGATATTCCTAGCATATGTTTTAACAGAGCAAAACATATTACAAAATAGTTCTAAATCTCTCTGCTCGAAGTAGCTAAAAAAATAATGAGTTCAATATCTCTAAATATTTAAAGAGAACAATACAGAGACAAGCTAAAAAGAAGGAAAGTGACCTGAGGGTTAGTGTTTTTCCAGCCTATACATTAAAAAGATAATATCCTTCCAGATATCTATTTCTTCTTGTTTTGCCTTCCAGCACCCACTTTTTCTTAAATGTGGGCTCTTCCCTGCACCACCCTCCTTTTTTTTTTTTTTTTTTTTTTTTGTATCTATTTCTTCTTGTTTTGCCTTCCAGCACCCACTTTTTCTTAAATGTGGGCTCTTCCCTGCACCACCCTCCTTTTTTTTTTTTTTTTTCTGATGGCACTTAATTTCTTTAAAATAGCTAGTTGTCAATGCTGGGAAGAACAGGAGATCTTCACCTCCACTGTATTTATCTTGTGCTAATTGAGTTTTCACTTGTATCCCTGTGTGTTCTCTTTATGACACTTCAATGCAAATTGTACAGCGAAGTTATGTCTCAGGATAGAGCTGAATTCAGGCCAAGGATTTACCCCGGTCTCGGTGGTAAGCTTGAGTCCTGCCTCTAAGTGTATTCTCCAGTGGCTTTTGCTGTACCACAAAGGTTAGGACAGAGCTGCAGGATCGTTTTTAAGTGTAGGATGATGTGCCCAGCCACTGCAGCCCTTTTTCTGTTCTGAAAAGAATTTTCACTGCGAGTTTTGTGTTTTGGAACGGATGATCTGTCTTGTTCTAGGTGACTGGTATGAACAGCTTTATCCCCTGGTGATCACGCTGAAGGACTGCATGGGAGAGGTGGTGACCAGGGCCAAGCAGTCCATGGCATTTGTTCTGCTCCAGGAACTCGCCTGCGGTTTGCCACAATGTTTGATGCTGACCCTAAGAAGAGATATCGTCTTCAGTCAAGCAGTAGGTTGTTTTGTGTCACTTATCTCCTACTGTTGCTATAATTAAGCATACTATTCATGATGGTGTTTGTGTTTTTCTTTTTTGGTTTATTTTTTTTTCCTTTGCCTAATTGAATGCAACTTTTTCATATGTTTTCCATTACATCCACTTTTAATTTCTCTATGGCATTATAAAATATATTAGTAAATGGAAATCCATAGTAACTGTATTATTGAGTCAGAGAAGTAGGTCTGCAATGGACTGGAAAAGGTTCCCTAATCTCCCTTTTGCACAAGGAAATTTTGCACAAATACTTGCACAAAAATGCACACCCATTTTAGTGTTCCTAGGTTATATGCCAGTATCCTCACCCGTAGGTGAAGTTTTCGAGTCTAGCCTTAAATATTCCTTGCTGCTATTCAAGCAAGGTATTTTTTTCTCCTGGTCGCCTTAGAAATGAAGAGCAGATTATTTGTTTTCAGTTTGTAGCAGTATTTTATATGTTTGAAGACTATTAGCTTGTCTCTCCTCAGACTTTTCTTCTTTTGATAAATAACTGAAGTCCTTTCGATCTTCTCCTGTAGATCATGTTTTCCAGGTAGATTTTTCTCTAAATGATTAATCTAATTTTTTCCCTTAAGTTACATGTTTTTCCTAACTTAACTAAGGAGTTAGGCTGCAACCATCATGGAGTTTCAGTTGCATTAGGTGCCTAACTAGTTTCAAATCCATCATAATTCATCATTATAATTCATATATATCCATATAATTCATTCATCATTAACTAGTTTCAAATTCCATCATAATTATAACCTGCCAACAAATGAAGCTTATCTAATGTAAAATAAGGGAATATTGCTTTTTACACCAAAAAAAAATGCCTGGGGACTATATTGGTGTGAAATTATGTATGTAGTCACTAAACAGAAATATCTATGCTGTTTTCTCAAATATCTAAATACTTCTTGTGTTGTGTATAATGATAGGTGGCATTTTATCTGTTTTAGCAGTACATCTGTTAATTTCACATTTTTTCATTGTCTTTATAGCTCGCTGGATTGGTCTGTGGGTTTATAATCAAATTGCACACGGGTTTACATGATCAAGGATTTTTACAACAGCTTCATACTGTTGGGTTGCTTGTGCAATATGAAGGACTCCTCAGTACATATAGTAAGTATCGTTCTTGGACAAAGTTCCTTATGCATCCAGACCAGAAGTTTACCCAGGAGGTTCTTATTTTAACCTCTGTTCTGCTTCCAGTAATGTGGCTTACTGAATTAACGTATATTATCCTTAGGAGACGTGCATATAATAGCACAGTTGAAGTCATTGATACTGTTGTGGATTCTGCATCAAAAATTACTCAGATATTTTATTCTCAATTCCTCTGAGAATGCTAGTTGCTAATTACTCCATGCAGAGTGCTGAACTACATTGTCTTACATACAGGAGACTCCTTCCTCACTGCAGCTAGTGGGACTTTTTGTTTTAATAAAAACTGTCTCCATTTGTACAAGCATTTGGCCTGACCCAAAAAAGCAGCTTTATACAGCTAACCCAGACAGCAGCTTTAAAGTTACTGATCCTATCGGCCTCTGCCCTGACTCTGTCAGTATTGATGATGTGAAGATAACTTGAAAACTGTTTAAATCCTAGTTTCTTACAGATAACATAATTTGATAGGTATTGAAAAGGAGATTTGGAGGAGAAACTGCTGTATGTTTCAAAATGCTTTGAATTACACGTATTGGAATCCTTCCCCAAATTAGAGATCTTGACAGAAGTAGAGGGATTTAGCATTTGGGCAGGTCTTTAATGCACAGGCAATTGCAGATCCTCACTTGAAGATTGCTGTCTGGCTCCCTTTTGCATGATACTCATTGTTGTTGTTCTCAAAACCTTTGTCCTCCATCAGCAGGACAGTCTTTAAAAACACTTTCAGAATAGACATAAATGGCTTTTCCGAGGTTATTCTATGCACATATAGAGCAGGCTGATTTTCAGAGGTGCTTAATACTCATAGTTATCATTTAGGCCACAGAGAATTGTCAGCAGTTCTAAAAATCAGTTTGCTTTTATGTAGGTTACTTTAATGTGGATTTAGAGCTGTGATTTTTAGATGCACAGACTGGAAAATATAATCCCCATATTGCTTTGCTATAGCCTATTCAGTGACTGATCTTGTCTACTCTGTTAATAACCTCTGTAATCTTCCCATATAGGTGAGGAAGCGGGGATGCTAGAAGACATGGCTGTGGGAATTTCAGATTTGCAGAAAGTGATGTTTAAAGTCATTGAAGCCAAATCAGAAGATTTTTTGCCTATTATAACAGGAAGGCGGTAAGAACTTTGTTTCCTGGAGCCCATGGCATGTAGTTTCAATCTGTAGCACATGAAAACCCAGATAATGGGTTTCTTGTTGCTGAATTCTATTATATGGAAAGTGCAGTAGTTTTACTTTTCATGAGGTGAATAGAGATGTAATGAGGTAGTAGGGATTTGCAGAGCTAGTAGTAATACGGGCTCTGGTTACTTTCCTGATGAAAACCTAAAAGCTCCAATTATTAATACAAATTGATCAAAATCTGGGTTGAGCAGAGTTTCTTTTGCATTTTTCATATATAGATACTGAGTCAAAAAGAAGTGAAAAAGGTCAGTATTTACAAAAATGGCATCTAACTGAAGAAACCTTGTTTTTGAGGTGTCTAGAACTTGTATTTTCAGTGTGACAAATGAAATTCCATTTCTAAGAGTTAGGCCTTGACTGTCTTAAGATGGAAACTGAAAACCTCAGATGCCAGAACTTTAGGCTTCCTTTTTCAAAAGTGACCGCTCTCTGAGCTGCTGAAGATCACACAGGACAAATGCAACCTCAGAAATCCTTGCATAAAGCCACTAATACGTTACAGATAAGCACTGCTGAGTAACAGGACAGAAACTGAAATACTTAGTAATTGTGGCTATAAGAGGGTTAACAGGATTGTTAGACAGGAGAAATGGGTTTTTCATCATCATCATTATCCCAGTCTGAAGCTCCAAATGTTTTTACTTTTGCAGAAATCACTTCCTTAATAGTATCGTTGTTTGTAAGATGGCTGTAAATTAAATTCAGCTAAAAGCAGCGACTTTTAGAAAAGATATGTTTCCTCTGAAGGGGGCTTTCACCACTGATTTACTTACTTATTCTGGATGATTCCTTCTCATCCTATGGGCCTTCCGAGAAAGCATTGAAATAAATAGCAGGAAGGCTGGAGTATGATAGGCAACACATTGGGAATAATTAAGAGTAATTATGGTGTGTAGATAAAACAGAAGAAATACATCCTTTGTAAATCACAGCAGTCAAAAATCTTGAAAAATCCAGCAGCTCCATTTACTGGCTTGCTGCCATTACTGTGGGACACTGAACTGTCACGCTAGGAGGTCCTGGGTTTGAAAGAGACTGGAGCTTTAAGCTGCCTCAGGCATTCTGGATTGATGGAGGAGTCAGTCTTTAGGAAGAAGAGTTACTGCCTGTGATTGCTCTACTGTACTTACTGGCAGGAGTTCACTGGGTGGAATTGGTATCAGACAAAAAAAAAAAAAAAATCTTTAAGGCTTATGTGAAGGAGTGCCATTCCTGTTAGAGCTATGATGAGACAGCTCCTATCAGACAGCGTTGGAAGTCAACCATAAAAAGAGAAGACAGTGGAAAACCTAGTTATTTTCTAATTAAAGTTTGAAAGCACCACAATTTTTAGACCATTTTGGTTTTTATAAGGTGTGACTTCATAATCTCTTAGTCTTATTTTATTGAGATGCAAGGCAGAAAATTAAGCTACAAATTCTTACCTTGCAGAGTTCAAAGTATTCAATTGTAATTGTATTTCTAGGGAAGTGCTTAAGACTGAGATTCTATGTACACAAACAAATCAGTCCAAAGAGTGCAGCATTGGCCATCACTGCACTAACCTGCTGGTGTGGGTGGCTGACCCCGACCATCCAGGTGAAGTGAAGCTCTGTTCAGGCACTCAGGTTCTTTTATTACAGACCAAAGTAGCCAACACTTACTTTTATAAAATTCTTTGATAGAACGTAGTTGATTGCAGAGGTGAACTTTGAGACATCACAGGGTTTGATACCATGTTCTCAACAAAGCCTGCAATCGGGCTAGCACTTAGAGCCACGTTGAAGTGGTCTAAAAAGTTGTCACTTTGCTGAAACAAGAGCTGGGTAAAGCACCTCCCAGCTGAGGGCTGCAGCCTTTGTCTATACATGATGATAAGAAATATCAGAGAATAAGTCAAATGAAGTCAAAGAAATTTATATTTTTAAGCAGTCCTGTTTTACTGAAACCATATACATTAACATTTTAATGCCTAAATGTATACAATTTGTTCTGAAAGAGATGATATATTATTTACTCTCTTAAACATGCTGGATTTCTCCATCCTGTTTTCCTGAGAGATCATTAAATGTTAAAAATTATGTACTGTTTTTTCCTTCTCATTGGAAAATGTAGTAGCCACCTTATCCATCTCATGTCAAAGTCACCTGGTATCTCTGCACTGAGTCTAACCATAAAGGAGAGAAACTACATGGTGATAAAATTTGCTCCTGTGTTACTGTTTCTTGTTTAAGTAGAAGCATAGGACGTATAAGATACTTGGTAAATTATTGTCAAACAAGTCCCCTAGATTTCCATACTTTGCATTCTTTTTATCTTTTTTTTTTCTTCCCCCCACCTGACTTCAGTACTGTTCCTGGCCTTACTAGACAGCTCTCTGGTCACAGCTTGATAGCCTTTGCCTTACATGATCAGAAGTAGGTTGTTTTCATTGTGCAGTTGGTTACAGATTTTTAAAAGTTACCAAGGATTGTTTCTGAGACTTCAAAAAATGTTTTGCAAAAGAAAAAAATGGACAAGGGGAAGCTCTCACATGGTACTGATGTTAATTTATCCTGCCTAAAGGTCAGCGTTTTTCAATGTTTTTTCACAAACTGCAAGATTTGTAGTGATTTGGAGGAGAGAGCGTGAAATGTAGCAATGCAGTGATTTGGTGGCATTTTGGTTCAGCAGCATATGCTATTTCAATTAGTCTCAACCAACATTTCTTCTCAAGCTTATGAAAGCACTCCATCACAGACAAATGTTCTGGTAGCATTTGACAGCAGCTGGGGGTGCTCACATGCAGGCTGGGAATGAATGCTGCTGTGCAAAGATCATTTGCACAGAGTTTTTTTTATTGTATTCCTTGCTAACCCTCTATTTCCTTCAAATGGGTGAATTAATTAAACAAAACACAAACCAAATAGACTTACAGGGAGTAGAACCATTTTTCTTTTCTTTTTTTTTTCTTTTTTCCCCCCGCTCTGAGACATGTGTCCATTCAAAACTGATAACCCTCCTCAGTAGGGAGCATCTGGCATTTGCTCAAAGATTACACACTAGTTCTAGTGTTGCCCGTACCAAAGCATATGCTGTTGCCCCAGCTGAATGTCATTACATTTCAGTCACAAGTCTGTACTGGGTCCATTTGATTTTGTTCTCAGATATATGGGCAGGAGAGAGGTTGAAACATAAGCTGGAGCTGTGTCCAGTTCTGGGCTCCCCAGTTCCAGAAGGACAGGGGACTGCTGGAGAGGGGACAGCAGAGGCTACAAAGATGCTGAGGGGCCTGGAGCATCTCTCCTGTGAGGAGAGGCTGAGGGACTTGGGTCTTTTTAGTCTGGAGAAGAGAAGGCTGAGGGGGGATCTGATCAATGCCTATAAATACTTAAAGGGTGGGTGTCAAGAGGATGGGGCCAGTCTTTTCTCAGTGGTGCCCAGGGACAGGACAAAAGGAAATGGGCACAAACTTGAACATAAGAAGTTCCACCTAAACATGAGGAGGAACTTCTTTACTTTGAGGGTGGCAGAGCCCTGGAAGGGGCTGCCCAGGGAGGTGGTGGAGTCTCCTTCTCTGGAGACATTCAAATCCACCTGGACACATTCCTGTGCAACCTGCTCTGGGTGGACCTGCTCTGGCAGGGGGTTGGACTAGATGATCTCCAGAGGTCCCTTCCATCCCCACATCATTCCCTGATTCTGTGTGTTTATCCAAGCACCAGTTCTGAGATCGTGCCACTCATCCCTCCAAGCTTGCCCAAGGTGTCACAGCTACTGCAGAAACTGCCCCTTTTCTTCAAGGTTTTCTGCCTTCCCCCTGCCCCCAAATTCTACATGTGGATAATCCAGATCATATTTAAATTCTTTAGCAAGCACATGACTGATTAAAATAAGGGTTGGAGGGACTTCATGATAGATTATTTTAACAGGTGCAAACAGTTTTCCATCTTAAGTTTACACACAGAAATTGTGTGAGTCCCTAGGCCCGGTTTCTGTAGGTTAGGGTATAGATCCTCCTTCCCTCCTGTTGCTGTAATACTCTTCCTTCTTGGTGGCATACCACATGCAGGAGAGAACATTTCAGTCCTCGTTATCAGTTGGTCCTCTTTGAGTGATTAAAATGCCAAATCCTGGGGAGAAATGGATTTGCTTCTAGTCTGTTCTCTTTTTTTTTTTATTTTGTTATTTATTAGACTGATTTGCTCTAGTAGCAGAGAGAAAGTTAATAAAAACTAAGTTAACAGCATGCCATTGGGTCTGTTGTGGGGTCAGACATTAATCCTCAAAGACAGGTGACATTCAACTTGAGGGTTCTGCATGATCAGGATTTGGACTGGCAGCCAAAGTCACATGTTTTTCATAAAGTCAGACCAAACACAAACATAAACCCAGAACTGCTATTTATCATATCCCTTCTCCTAAAATAGATTCATGTTTGTGTAATGAGCCTTCAATTATTATCTTCACAGAGTCAATTTTGTTATTGGTGGTGCTTTCTATCCCCAGGGAGAAAATCCAGCCACTGAAGAAAATGGGAATTTTGCTTTGGGCTTTAGCGAAAGGTTTTTGCTCATATTACATTAAGAGTGGATACAGAATCAAGTTGGGACTTCTGAAATGAAGTTGTTTTTGCAACTTGGGAAGATACATTTTAGAGTTGAGGTGTTCTTATTGATACTTTTATAGCAGAAGATGCTTTCATCTCTGGTCCTATTTTCACCTCAGTAAAGAAGTCACTATCAAGAGTGTATGATTATATATACTTGCCTTCTCCCATATAGCTTGGTTCTGCTCTTCAAACAAGCAAGCTGAATCATCCCATTTTATGGTTCAATACAATTAAGGGGAAAAAGGGAGAACTGATTTATAAGTCTACATGTTCCCTATAATTTCAAAAGGTTATAATTTCGAGCAAAACAATCAATATTCCTGTCCTTATTCTTTTTTTTCCTAGTGAACATTACGTTATAGAGGTCCAGCTTCCAGCAAAGATGTTTGAATTGCTGCCACAAGAGATTAAAGAAGGAAAGCTACTTCGCATGTATCCAGTACTCTTTAATGTTGGAATCAATGAACAGCAAACACTTGCAGAGAGGTAGGAAAAAAATCATGTTTCATTTTCTCTCCAAGTATGCTGTGCTAGTACAGGATATCTCTCAGGATTAAAAATAAATATTTTTTCTTATTTGCTCTTGCACCATCTCACATTGACCCGGTGTATTTTAAAATATATTAAAGGAAATGAGTGCAAGCTAGGAAGCAATACAAAATAATGAAAAAGTCCAACTGAAGATACGTCCATATGCAGGACTTGATTTCACAGTTTCCAAGTTTATATAGCTTATTCTTGATGCCATAAAGATGGGAAAAGTGATGTTATGAGAGGAGTGACATGGTCAAAGTGTACAAAACCAGTCATGACAATTGTGACTAGGAAACATCATGTTTTTCCAAAATCACAGAAAAGCAGTATGCAGTAACCAAGGAACAAGTTTGTGAGAGCTCGGATGGGTGGGATAGGCAGGAAGGAGTGTATTTTGCAAACATCCTGAAGAAGAAACATTTGACAAGATTTGGAAATAGCCTGGGTATAGGGGGACTTGCAGAGGAGTCGGTGTGAGAAGATGTCTGGCTTTCAGGTGAAGTGGCTAGAAGAATGGCATTGTTCACAGTGGTGATTTTACATTGTGCACAAAGCAAGCCATGAATGGAAAATTAATATATGTATATCTATAAGTGTAGATATATGTTGACATCTATATCTATCACGCAAATTAAGTTGGATTATTCCATGTGGAATCAGGCCACGCGCACTAACGGATGTAAAAGTTAGACTTAGTTAAAATATTGCTTAATTCCTAAAGCTGCATATCTGTCTTTGAGATTGGAAACACTGTGTTTTGGTAAAAAGTCTTTTTTAGTGGAACGGTGAATATAAAATTAGAAATAAGGCTTTGTGATAAATGTCTAGAGAAAAGTTGCTTTATTAGACGCAAACATCTCTTTTTTCAATAAAGCACAGCTGAGAATGTATCTCGTGACGGTACAGCAGTGGCTACTGAGGAGGTAGCTGAGTCTTCTCCCTCTTCGGTCCATTTAAATATTTTATTATTTATTATTTATTAATATTCTGCATGATGTAGCAGTACCTTTAGTATCTTCTGATTTATGGCTCCTTTTGTCTACCCGAATTTCTTACTTAACCCATCCATGGCTCTCTTTCTGTGTTCCTCCACTCCCTTTCCTGTCCTTGCCCCATAACACACCCCTGAGCCCCCCCTGAGGTCAGTGTGCTGCCCCCAGCCGAAATGCAGGCAGCTGGAGTCAGTCAGCCTGAGAGGCACAGCTCTGGGAAGCTTAATGGTGAAATCAGTGCTCAACAGCAGAGAAATTGGGCTGTCGTTAGTTTCAGATACAAGAAAGCAAGATAACTAACAGCTCAGTTAGGAGCAGTGTAAGGCAGAAAGGGTCCAGAGAAGTAATCAATTTGTAGCAAATGTTCTCAGACCAGAGCAGAAATTAGTTCTTCAGAAGGTTTTCCACCTGACACTTGCATCTCTTCCATCTTATGTAGCTTCAATATTGTCCAGCTCTGATAGAAATTAATATACCAGCAACAACAGCAGAAAAAGTAGGAGTTGGTGTTCTCTGCCTGTGGTGCTATTTGAAATTCCCACAAAGATGATGATAACAAATATCAGAGAATAAGGCAAATAAAGTCAAAGAAATTTATATTCTTAAGCAGTCCTATTTTACTGTAATAGTATACATTCAGATCTTTAATGCCTAAATATATACAATTTGTTCTGAAAGGGATGATGATTTATTATTTACTCTCTTAAACTAAACTCTCTAAAATATTTTGGGAAAAAGAATATGTGCTTTATTGAATGTTTGTCTGTAAATGGATTACTTTGTCCATAATTTTTTTGGAAGAATTATCCATAAGTAATCACCTTGTTCCCAAATGTTAGTTCCAAAGCACATGAAAGATCAGCTACTGTAGGTTTGAAAAAACCTAGTACATTCAACGTGAAAAAAGAAAAAAAAAATATTTTTTAATGCAAAGAAATAATTCTGAAGGATAATTTAGCTCTGTTTTGGTTTTGGTATTTTTTTTTGTGGGGGTTTTTTGTCATCATTTTCCTATGCTTTTTTTATAGGTTTGGAGACACTACGTTGCAGGAAAACATTAACCAGGAAAACTTAGAACTTCTAAAAGAATATTACAAGCTGTTTACAGAAAAAATGCCTCCTGATTGTGAGTACAAAATAATGCAATAGCCAGATGGCTTTGAAAAGGTTTGATAGGTGAAAGATTATAAGATAGTAATTTTAGCACAATATTAGTGTGCAGCTTTTGGATTTAGATGCTGTAACTTGTTCCATAAAGTTAAGCACAAAGGTGTCTGTGCCCAGCCCTGCTGAAGTCAGTAGCGATTGCAGGCCCAAGGCCATAGCAGAAACTACAGGGAGAGTGAAACAGAGTAATGATGAACTAAACAGCTCTTTTAAATTATTAATATAATCTGCTTTTTAATCTTTCAAGTAGAGGACAGTCTGTACCTACTATATTTGTACAGAAATACTCGGTGGGAATTTCCATCAGTTTCAGTCATTCCATTCTTATTTTGAATATGTATTAAGGTATGGCAAACCCCTGAGAAATCTGCAGATGCAAATACAAGCAATGAGCCATATCATCATGTCACTAATATTAATAACATGCTTCCATTAGAATAGGCCCTATATTCCAATTTCATAGAGATTTGGTATCATAAACATTGCTATTCTTTTACTTTGTTGAAAGCAAACACTGAAAAGACCATTTGTATTAATCTAAAGTAGTTACAATAGTCTTAATGACAAAACTATATTCCCAAATGTTACAGATTTTCAGCCTGATTTTAAATAGCTTGGATTTAGGTCTCTGCTCCTTCACTTGAGTTAAGGGGGGGTCGAATCTTTTGAATCCTACAGGACGTGTGTAACTCCTCATGGTGAATCCTGCTGGTTAAAATCCCATGCAAAGCTTCTGTTCTCTCACAGAACACCTTGTGTTGATTACTTTTGCTAATTATCCATTGCATGTGTATACTTGTAGTTATATCTAATGTGCCACTATGTATGTATGTATGTGTTTATCTTTTATATCAGAATGTTTTTCATTTGTTAATAATTTAGACAGAAGTGAAAGCTCTGTTCTAAATGGTGGGCAGTATGCCCAGCCAGCCAGCCATGACTGTGGCATTTCTAGGATTTCTACAGAGAAACTCATACAACAAGTCAGTAATTAATTTAGGGGAACCCTGCCAAGAACGCATCCTGAAAAGCTAACCTCATCCAGGGTTAGGTCTAAGGTAGATCTGCTACCTCATAAATGCATCTGATTAGATATAAACAAAAATTTGGGATGCATCTGATTAGATATAAACAAAAATTTGCATGCAGATAGTATTGGCTGCTTTTCATTAACAGCAACTAACCTTGTACTTTGTTCCTGCTGAAGGATTATTAGTGAGGAACACAGTCTTCTGGACTTCTCCCAGACTGTGCAGGCTTTTGAGAACTGCACTTGTCTAATTCATTATGTCTCTTCTGGTTATTATTACCTTCTGGCTTTTTCTCTACCTCTAAGATCTGAATCTGTTCTTTGTCCAAATTTTTACAGAAGACAAAGCACTTTCTGGTTCCATGCCCTTCCCAGAAGCTCCCTGCCATTATACAGAATCACTCTTTTTGGCTTTGAAGAACGTGCCTTTTAAACCAGCTCCCTGGAAAAAAAAAAAAGTGAAGCTCTCCAAATTGTTCAGCTGGGGGAGAACTTCAGTTCCTCCCCCGCTCCCCCACCTTTGTGCTCAAGTTCTTAGGAAGATAAACCTCCATCCAAGCTGGCAGCAGCCCTGGTATTGCAGCCAAATGAGAGCCATTAGGTGTAGATGGCTCCTTGATGGTTTTGTCACATCTTTCCAGGTAGTTTCCTCTAGTGCCAAATCTGTGCTACAACATAAATGCAGAACCTTGTTCACAAAGCTGGTAGTTACAAATAGCGCTCCTCAAGCCAGACAGAATTTGCAGACTCACGTGGCCAGGCTGTTGCATTCACCATCCTTAGGCAGCTTCACTTCCCTGCTGCTTCATTTGTATATTCCATTTCAAAGAATTCAATTTTACACTCCTTTACTTACTTTATAGGCAATACCTATAAAGGTATTGCCACCTTGGCTATTAGTTTTTCTCTCATCTCTGTAATTCCCATTGCCAACAATATCCAAGCTTTCTCTCTATTCTCAATTATTAACTCTTCAGCTGCATGTAATTGCATATGCCAAACACTAACTTTCTGTCTTCTTTTAGATAAATACGCTCTCTGTCACTCTCCTGCTTCTGAATCTCTTTAATTCTCTAATGGGAAACTCCAAAAACAATAAATAAGTGTGCTTCCAGAAAGATTCCTACTAAAAATGCCACCCAAATGTAGTTGTGATTTAGGCAGCAAAATAGTACCACTTTTATAGAATAGCTAACCATAGTGAGTGTACAAAAAAGTATGATTGTTGCTTATTAGTACATAATTAATTGAAAAGAGCAGCTTGGAACTCAATTTAAGTAGCTGAAAGCATAAAATCAGAGAAACCTGTGTCGTGAGTGATACCTGACGCCCACAGCAAGTCAGTGTTGCCAAGTTGATGGTTTAATACCACTTTGTGACACGAGGAATGTAAGCAATCCTGTCCAGTCAAGATGCAGCTCATTTGGCAATATTCTAAATCAGGAGAATCTTGCTTTACCTATGGTGAAGCCATCTCTCTGAGATGATGCATTTTCTGCTGGGAACCAAAAGAATGTTTACCAAGTGATACGTTCTCATATTCTGGAAGCATCTTTTTCGACTGCTCATCATATGCTGTGTGTTTTAAAGCAACAGATGCAGGATAAGCATAATAGTCTAGTGGGTTGTGATGTATTTTTATATGCTCTGCATCATCTGATTGTATGATCAGGAATTGTAATACCTGGGTAAAACAATCCTCATTAAGATCATTACAAAAGTAGCTTAGACGTACTTTTTCCTGCATTCTTTTTTCTTTTTGGCAGTACAGTAAGGGTAAGGCAACTTAGACATTTTTAGAATAGTTCTTTTTGAGTATATTTAAATTACTTCTTACTATGAATGATGGATAAGGGAATCTACAGAATTCATTAGAGATAAAAGGTAAAAGCCTGTTGATAAGAGGGATCATTCCAGCTGTGATCAGCTTAGGAGAATGGATTTTGACCTGCATTAGTAGTTGCCTCAATTTTGCTCTTTGAATTGAATATACATCTTAGGTTTGGGGTTTGTGTTATAGGGGTTTTTTTCCCCACTGGATGGAATGTCCTACTTTTTCTTGTTGGGAAAAAAAAGAGTATAAATTTGTTTCAACTAGTTATGAGCCTTTCTTTGGTGATAACTATTATTAAATTTCTTTTTATTTCACTACTGTAAGAAGAAATCATTTAAAAAACCAGATTTGGGGTGTTTCTACTTATTTTCAAAACTAATGAAGGTAAAGGTAACATTAGAACAAACCCCTCCTATAAATACACATAAAGCAGGAAAGAAAAATTGCCTATTCTTGAATTCCTTCTAGACATTTATGATTGATGAAACTTCAGCTCAGCTGCCATAGCCAGGCCAAGTAGGTAAAATTTTGAGTTTTAAGTAAACCCGAAATTTAGTATTTAATTAAAGTCTCATTTAATTTCAGACTGATTTCAGACTGATCCTCCGTTAGATTTTTTTTTTT